GGCGTGTGTGAGAGCGACAACTATCACGAGAGAGAGAGAGAGAGAGAGAGAGAGAGAGAGAGAGAGAGAGAGAGAGAGAGAGAGGAGCCCCACCTTACAAGGCGAAAGCAATTTGGAACCTAGAGTGCGGTCGGAGAGAGTGGAAGATGCGGTCGAATAACGAGAGGAAGAGAGTAAGGGATGATGGTATTGAAGTGAATAAAGAGGAAGACGAAACAAGAGAGAGATGATAGAATAAGAAGGAAGAAAGAGATGGAAAAGGAGGACGAATTTAAAGAGGATGAGAAAGAAAGGGGAGGGAAGAAATGAGGAAGACAGAGGAGAGAGAGAGAGAGAGAGAGAGAGAGAGATCGAAAGAGGAATACAGAAAGGGAGGGCGAAAAGGAAGGGAGTAAGGGAGAGTGGTTATTATTAAACGTGAGAAATAATTTGAAGTAAGAAATAAGAAGCAGGAGGAGAAGAAGAAGAAGAAGAAGAAGAAGAAGAAGAAGAAGAAGAAGAATTGGGCGTAATTAAGACTGATGAATGGATAAGAAAAGACATAAAGGAGAAAGCAAGGAAGCGACGGAAGCTGACTGAAACGACACTAAGAAGTAAAAAAAGAAAGGCGGCGAGCGTGTGTAGGCGAGTCGGTATCTATTGAGGGAGGAAAGTGCGACAGGGAAGAAACGAGCAAATCTGTCTAAACAAAAAGCCGCCGACAACAAAGCCGCCGACAGTTCCCCTGCACTGCTTCGCGTCAACAGTTCACCGTTAAACGCCGATCGGGTTTCCTCGCATCCACACCGTCGCGTCAACGATAAATGCTCGTCGAGTCGCCTAAATATAAACGCTTTTGGTTAAGTCTACTATGTACTGCTAATACTCTCGCTCTCTTGCCCCCATTTCGTTCTCTCTGACTGTGTGCGTGTGTGGAAAGGCGGGCGCAAAACACGCGCACGCACAAGCGCACGCGTACGCACGTACGCCTCCCCACACACATCCACGCATACGCGCGCACACGCACATGCACATACACGCGCGCGCGCACGTACGCCCCCCCACCCACACAATCCCGCAGAAGCGCACGCGCACACACGCGCGCGCGCACACACACACACACGCACGCACGCACACGCCCGGCCGCTTTGCGTCGGATTTCCCTTCGTAAACATCGCCGCTACAATGCCTAATCCCGCAAATCGCTTGGCCGCGCGGCGCAGGGTCAACACAGACATTGTACACAGCGCGACATGTGATCGCTCTTCTGCTGCTGTGCGGCTGTTTGTCCTTGCCGCCGCGTCGCTCACAATGGCCAAGTTAACTAACAGCGCTACACCTGCCGCCCGTGCCGTCTGCCCCGCACGCCGGCCCACTTAAGGCCACTTCGGCTGCAAACTGGGACTCCTTATGCAGCCGGACTTTTTCGCCCGCAGTTTATACACCGGCGCGTGGCGCGTAGCGTGAGATGTTGACTTTGTGTGTATTTATACACGCTAACGAAAACGTACACAGTAAAATGGCTCGACTACGCGCGTGTTCGTTCCAGTTAAAGCTATGTCTTCATTGGGCGTAGCACGTAGTTTGATGTGGGTAGCATTTCAGGTTTTAATTGACGAATTGGAATTTTATTTTCATACCAAAAGTACATATTAACAAGAGTAGATAATGTATTATTATCTACTCTTGATATTAATGAGGCGAGAAATCTAACAAATTAAACGCTCGGATAAAACGTCATGTAGATATCAATTCCCTTACTCCCCCGCTCTTTCTCTTTCCCCCCTCTCTCTCACCATGTGCGTGTGTTTGTGTGCTTGTGCGTGCATGTGTGCGTGTGTAGTGTAGGCATGTGTCTGTTTTGTTTTCTTTCTCTCTCTCTATCTCTCCCCTCTGCTCTCTGCTGTTTCTTTCTTGTGCGCGCTCTCTCTCTCTCTCCCCCATTTTCTCTTTCTCTTCCACTCCCCCTTCCCACTTTCTCCCTCTACTCACACTCTCTCTGTCTCTCGTTCCTAAGCTGTTCATGTCTGGCTCTCTCACATGCGGTATACGTGTATAGTTGTCACGTACCACCTCACAAGGTTTGCTCATTGGTAACTAACCTGAAATCCGGCACAGGACAGGTGAACACACATAGAAGAACAGGTGCTAAACGTTTAAGACTCAAATATAATGAATAATATTTATTATTTCGCTGTGTGTATATTATGTAAAGGCATCAAAGTTAGAAGGCAACTCGGTGGGCATCTATCGTCAACACGGTCTCATAAATGCTTGTTGTATCAATTTCCTAAGACTCGGCGCCGCATTATTTACAACGCCCATCCATTATAAAGACATTAACGGCTCGATGAGAACTTATGATGAGGCTTTGGATCACTCTTTATATCACATGACAGATAAGGCACACAACTTTTCTCGCGTCATATTATAGTAACGTACTTGATACTCCCACTAGATACTCATTTAGACATTCGCTAGAGACGTCTAGTCATTCCTATGTCGTTAATGATAAAAAATCGCTATGTTTCTATACGTCATCGAACAATCAGAGCTATTTATTGTGCTCTGTGCTGTCGTCTTAAAAGAATTATAAAGCTATTGAATGATTTATTCATTAGCGCAGACGGTAACTAGTATACACGTACAAAGAGAGCAAACCCATTTTGACACATCCGCTTAAAAAATCCGCATGTATAATATCATCATGCATAAATTTTAAATTCATGGAAATTATTATTATTTATCCTTTTACATTTTGCATATTTTGGAAATACATGTAGTAGTAGTTTCCGTAGTTTGGCACATTTTGAAAGTTTTGCGCGTGCATCGTCTGCAAATTCGACTCCAAGTGCATTGAGGTAGGCGGCGCTGACATCGCTTGCGCCGACAGCGGCGGACGGCCGTGTGCGAGAGGTGGCGGCCCCCGGAACGGGAAGATGTCACCCGGATGTGGGTGCGGACGGTGCCATGTTGGAGTAGGGGATAGAGGCATCGACTTGCTGCCGGGCGAGAGCATGCAAGTGCTCGGCTGTGCAGCGATGGCTGCCGAGCAAGGGTACGGGTAGATCGGGTTGTACAGATGCCGATGCTCCTTGCTCGTCACGTCGTACGGTGGCGCTGCCAATGTTCCCGTGGCGCCGCCTAGCGAGTTGCTGCAAAGTTTATGGCGGAGGATTCGGCTGATGGAACTGACGGACGGCACGTTGTACTTGTCGCACACGCCGTCCGAGATAAGCTTGTCTTTGATCTCCCAGGCGAAGATGCCCGGGTCCTTCTGCTTGTAGTCGCGTATGTGCTTGACAACGACGGGCGTCGTCACGCGCGGTTTGCTGCCGCCTATCGCACCGGGAAGAATCGATCCCGTCTCGTTGTACCTGCATTTATATAACGCAAAGGTCGTTAGCAACCCGCGTGAACATTCATTTCATGTGATTATAACTATACGAACGTGTACATATACAATAGCATGCATCGTTGAGGACTTATTCTTTCTAAGTTTATTTAGTAATCTATGATAAGGATTATTTTATTTTATTATGCCTGTACGGATGTGCATATATGTAAAATATCTGTCGGTAATCATTTAATAGCGTTAAGAATGGGCCCGTCGCCGTGTACCTGCATTTAATACACAGTAATATTTCTCCTAATATTAAACATGTAATAATATTACAAACATTAATTATACAAACAACAACAAATTAACCATATATTTAACATGTAATATATGAGAAGCAGATGAGAATATTTAGTAACCCATTAAAAATAATTTCTATTATTATACTTGTACGAATGTAAGATAACACATTTTGTTATGTATGTATTATACGATGTTATGCACGGGTTTACGTGGCCCTGACGGATGTATAGCGGACGGAGCTACATATGTACCAGATTTTACTGCTCATAGAATGCAGTTTCTTCCGAGGAAATGTCCCTAAAAAGCACATTGCGTCATATAAGCTGAAGGTTGGTGTAGCGGACATTATTATAAGTAAGATATTGTTACATACGTAACAATGCGATATATTATACACCACAGCGGAATAGCCTTCAGTATATAGTAATCTATACTGATGGTGAGGAGGGTTTATGAAATACAGTGAGTTTTATAGGGGTAAAAGCATAAAAAACACGGGTGCGATCTTATTTATGATCATAATGTCTGTTAGTGAAGAGGGCTATTATGCCGTCAAACTTTTAAAAATTTGTTACCTTTTGCATTTGGGATGCGTCTAATGCATGTTAGCGTCTTATAAGCAGCGGAATCATGTAAATTACGCCGTACATGCACACACGCGCGCGCGCAAGCACACACACACACACGCGCAAGCACACACACGCGCGCATGCACTCACGCGCGAAAAACCCTCTATTTCGGTAAATTGATCCGCTATGCAGTGGATATAAACGTATTTAATCATAATATCAGGAGTGAATAACAATTATAATCTATTATTATTCACTCATGATAATATCATATTTCTTTTATATCTTTTTTATACCCTTATTATATCTACCTACTTCAGATATGTTATTATTTACATGAATACACCCAAATTAATATGATCTTTTATCGGTATTTTAAACCAATCGGAGCCCTAGTAGCCCGTTATTCGGCAATACCTGGCTAGGATCTTGCTCACACAGCCATGAGACACTCGCAGCTGACGGCTGATATCACAAGGTCGGATTCCGAGCTGGGCAAGTTCGACGATCCGGAGTCGGACGCCGTTCGGAAGCGGCCGGCCGTTGACGAAAACGCCGCCGAGTTGGTTCACCTCGCCGTACGACTGCGCGTCTGCTAGAGAGATGAACAGAGAGAACGGAAGCTTGGTTAGGCACCGCTGAGCAGTATTAACCAGGCGCTGCCTACGGTAAATACGAAAGTGAATACGATTAATGAGTAACTCTAGTTAGTGATGAGAGAAGACAAAGAAAACATTTGAATACACTGAATAAAGTGAAATACAGTTAATACGATGAATGAATGAATACACTGAATGGCGAATGGATACAGTCACTTTTGTAAATGATTTAATGTAATAAATAGCTCGCTCTTTCTATTTCTCTCTCTCTCCTTCTCGTTCTCTCCCCCTCTCTCTCTGTCCCTCTCTCGCTCTCACTTTCTCCTCCCGCTCACACTTACTGATTCTCTCTCTCTCTCTCTCTCTCTCTCTCTCTCTCTCTCTCTCTCTCTCTCTCTCATCCTGCTCATTCTCCCCTCCTTCCTCTTTCTCTCTCTCTCACTTCAGTGTCCTCTAACTGAAATGTCTACTTCGCTCATTTGCTCCGCTCTAATTTTATTAACATTTTATATAAGTTTACTTTAAATGTAAGCTTTATAACTACTATTCTAAGTTTTATTTATTAAATAATTCTTTATGGTAGGTGTTTATTCATCTCATGTCATTCACTCACAGCATTAATTTATTTATCTATTTTAATTATATATATATATATATATATATATATATAATAATATATATTATATAATATATTACTGTATGCGAGTGCATTGTGATTGTGTATGCGTGCCAGACTGCATTCGTCGCCGTGATTAAACCAAATTTCCGATAGTGATATCGATACCGATACTGATAGCAACAGCGATACTGATACCACAATGATAGCGATACTGTTACCAATGACTGATGAGTGATTACCAATTAATACCAATACTGATAGCGATATACACTATCAGTGGTACTGATAGCAATACTGATATCATAGCATGCCGATACTGATAGTAATACCGACACCAATACCGATATTGATACTAATAGTGATAGTGATGCAAACACCGACCGATACTGCTACTGGTAGCGATACCGGTACGGTGCGTGGGTGGATAGGCTTGTCCGGTGCCATGGCAGAGCCTGGCCCGGGGGGCGCTAGTGGGAACTGGTGCGTGTAACCGGCTGCCGGCTGCTGGCTGCTGCAGTGACACGGAGCACGGCTCAATCGATACCCTGCTCCGGAGAAGAGAGGAGAGCGCGAGTGAGAGAGAGAGAGATGAGAGGGGGGAGGGAGAGAAAGAGAGCGCAGTAGAGGACCATACACACATACATTACAACAGGACCTTACCGACCGACAGAACAGCAAACAACAGACAGACAGACAGGACAGACAGACGACAAGACAGGACAGACAGACAGGATCAGCCAGACAGACAGGACAAGACAGAGTCAGACGAGAGCGAACGACGGACGGACGAGGGGGACCGGACATGACCGACAGACAGACTGACAGACAGAACAGACATACAGCCGACAGACAGTCCGACCAGACAGACAGCAGAGCAGACCAGACTAGACAGACAGACGAGACAGACAGACAGACCGACAGACAGACAGATACAGACAGACAAGAAACAAACAGACAGACAGACAGACAGATAGATAGAGCAGACATGACAGACAGACAACAGACAGACATGACAGACAGACAGACAGACAGACAGACAGTAGATTAGCGAACAGAGATGGGTGAGATGAGAGAGAGAGAGAGAGAGGGGAAGAGAAAGAAAGCAGAGGGGTGCGAGGGAAGCGGGGAGAGGCCGAGAGAAAGAGAGAAGGAGAGATCGGAACGGGGAAGAAGAAAAGAGAGAGAGCGAGAGAGAGAGAGGAGAGAGAGAGAGAGAGAGAGAGAGACCTGAGAGCTGAGCGAGAGAGAAAGAGAGACGAGACAAAAACGAAGCGAGAGGAGAGAGAGAGGTGAGATCTGGATCGAGCGAGGGAGCGAGAGAGAGAGGAGAGAGAGAGAGAGAGAGCGAAAGAGAGAGAGAGAGAGAGAGAGCACGCACAGCCCCAGCACAGAGATGAGGATGAGCCGGGGCGAGCATGCAAAGCGTGGTCGGGCCAGCGGCACCGAACCGGTTTATTAGGGACAGGGCCGGCGAGCATGTACGACGAGCACGGCGCTAACCAACACACGGCAGGCCGCTGTCCGCGAACGACCGAGCCGGCGCGCGCGCAACAGCCCGGCATCTGGATTCGCTACGACAAGATCGGCTCTTAGCAGTGTAACCCGTGCCGTGCATGACATAGATGGGATAGCTTGTCCTAAGGAAACGAGATGAGGGGAAAGGAGAGGAAGGAGAGAGGAGAGGAGCAGAGGGGAAGAAGGAGAAGGGAGAAGAGCGCAGAGAAGTGGGAGAGGAGCGGGGAAAAAGGAGATAGATTTGAAGGGGGAAAAGGATACAGAAGAGAGAGGGGAGAGAGAGAGGGGGAGAGAGAGGTGGCAAAGGTGGCGAGATAGAGATGGAGGTCAATATCCGGCGCGTGCGTTCCAGGCAGTGCGTGGCAGGCAGCGTCTCATTCGGGTCATCAACGAGATCGGGAACGTTGGGTGGAGAGGGGCAAAACCAGCACGAGATTCGGTGAGGGGCACGGGGAGCGCTGTAAGTTCCCAGGGGGTCCAACCGTGCATTTTAGTTGTTTTCAGGTGGCACTTCTGCCATGGCTACTCAGCATGAGCAGCGTAGAGCCGAGGAACAATCAATTAAAATGGAGGTTAGAAATTCTCCTAAACCACAGCCTCGCGGTTTTGATATATTAATTCTTGACGGTGTGGGTTACATGGGCGCCTGCTGAGCGCCGATGATCCCTCATCTTTTGATATATCCATGCCGCTCATCTCCTGCTGATGCTAATCTCTCCCTGTTCTACCTCCCCATACCCCTTGATACCCCACACTTTACCTCTACATAATGCCCCATTGCATACCTCCGCTGATAACCCTCTTCGTTGATATTGCCATCCTGATCCCTTCCTGATAACACACCCACCTCCTTAATCATGCCCCCCTGATTCCTCCCCTTATATACTCTTCCCTCACTTGATGCCCTACCCATGATAATGCCCTGAATACAACCCCTCCTCACCTTGATTCTCATCCTGATAAGTCCCCTTGACAACTCCTCCCATGATTGCCATCCCTGATAACCTCCCCTGACCACCCCTCCTCAGCTGATGCCATCCTGATAACTCCCCTGATACCTCCTCACTGATGCATCTCTGATAATCCCCTGAAACCCTTCTCATTGATACGTCCCTTTGATACCCTGTTCCATGATACTGCCTCGATCCCATCCCTTCTAGACCTCCATGCTACTCCCGTGATGCCTCCTTCTGATGCCCCCCACCCCCCCCGCCTGACCGGCAGTGGGGACCATGTCACTTCGCTCGTTCTCGTAGACGGTGTTTGGGAATTCTAGATCGTTACACGAGCATCCGTGCAGCCGCGCGTCTCTGTGCCATCCGTACACGTAACACCGCGCGACGGACGTGCGTGTTTGGGTGGCCACCGACGACACTGACACATACAACCGCCGACGATACGATGACAATAATGTCCGTGGGATGACGACGACTGACGGTGATGATGATGATTGATGACGATTCAATTCTCGGCGCGGATGGGTAGGCAGAGCGTCGTGCCGCCCGCACCGATAAATAAACAGACGGCAGTGTTTCGCTGAGTTTACGGCGTTAGGGTGACGACCTTGTACGGCCTGCGTGATGTAGCCCACCACAACGTGGACGCGCACGCCGCACGCACGCGATGTAACGCAACCGTACGCACCACATCACGCCCGTACGCATGCACAGCCCGCAGCACGATGCTGTACGCATGCGCACCAGCGCACGGCATGCACACACGCTACGCATGCTTGTAGCGCACGCACGCACCAGGTCACGCACAGCACACGCACGGCACATCATGCACGCACGTTGCGCAGCACCACGGCCGCTAACCCGGCACTGACGGTGGGGCTGGAGGGAAGCCGGCGAGCTCATGTGTTAAAATATTGTTATAAATAGTTCATTGTAATATTATGTACAATATATTATTATAATACATTATCCTGTGTAAACGTTACAATTTTTACTACTACTTTTAATGATGTATGGCCATTAAATAAAGAAATATAATAATAATAATAATATTAGTGAAAAAAATTGTATATAAATAATAACATGGTATGCGTATAGAAACCACGCTTTGCGGAACTGCACTCTGTTATGGAAACCAAACAGAAATCGACCCGAAACCCGCGTGATTGAAAACATTTGAGCTCGTTCAACTGAGAGCGCGCGCGCGTGTGAATCCCCTGAAAAGAGTGCCAGGCGGCTTGTTAAATAATGTCCGTCAGTCGGCGCCGATGCTTGCGCGCGTGCGGGCGCGCATAGCTGCTGCGTGTTTGAGGTCGACACTGCCGCGCACCCGAGCCCGCTAGTTATACTATCATCAGGAGCACCCGGATAGAGAGAGAGACATTACGAGAGCAGATAGATATTAACTATATATATATATATCAAGAGCTCATAATAGAGATTCTCTATTATTATCTCTTGATATATATCATATGATATTAGATAAATATTAAATAGATACAGAGATATCCGAGAGGTGGAATGGATTAGAGATACATGAATATCGTTATTCGCGTGTTCCTGATATCAACGCTTTAACAACGCTACTAAAGCTGTAAAATACTTAAATAATAAATGCCAAAGCAAACATGTATGCAAGTTCTTTTAAAATAAAATAAAATTTTATACCATACTATTTGTGTAATAAGATAGAGCATATATGTGTATAACAGGAAGTGTAGCATCCAAATTACACTGAAAAATACAATTAATAATGTCACAATTAATGCGCTCTTAATAATCTCACTTGCGCACGAACACACACACAGGCACTTGGACCGTTTCAATAATAAAATGATGGTTAATAAATACAACTTGTCAGTACTAGACCTACCAGACAAGTACCAGTAATAGTCTTAATGTTTGATTTGACCTAATAACTTCACTTCAACACCGTCCAATACACCGCTGCAACACATAGCGCGCACGCCATTGTGCATGCACAAATACACAGTGATATAGAGTGTCTATATCACTGTATATCACTGTGTTATCACTGTGTTATCACTGTGTTATCACTGTATATCACTATATCACTCTATATCACTGCGTATTTGTGCATGCACAATGGCGTGCGCGCTATGTGTTGCAGCGGTGTATTGGACGGTGTTGAAGTGAAGTTATTAGGTCAAATCAAACATTAAGACTATTACTGGTACTGTTACTGGTAGGTCTTGTACTGACAAATTGTATTTATTAACCATCATTTATTATGAGGGAACAATCCAAGGGTGCTTGTGGAACACACACAAACGACTACACACTACACACATGCAGCACCGACACACACAACTACACCACACACACACACACACACGACCACACGGATACACACTACATGCGCACGTGCAACGCTGTACACGCACACGCACACGTCTATATCGCACACGCCACACGCCACACGCATACGCACACGGCACGCACACAAAAACACACACGCACGCCACGCAATGACGCCACACGCGTACGCATCGACGGGCATTGACGCAGCACGCACGCACACGAAAAACACTACACGCCTACTGCACGCCACAACATAACATAAACAAATATTAACAAAAACACAGACACTAGTACACACTCACGCACACACGATGCCACACATCAACACACACAACAGCACAGCACAGCATCACGACACACATCACACACAACTACGACACGAACTACTACATGCATCACTATCGCACACCACAGCACACACACACACATGGTATGCGCGCATCATCACAAACGCGCCGCGTGTACAGATGCACTACACTCATTGAGGCACTACATACGTAATTGCTGATTACTAGCTAATATTATGAACTTTAGGATGCTAGTGACATTAGACGATATGACTAATGTATATAGTATCGAGGGATATAGAAATTAGTAAGTCTCTGTTATTTGTATAGTACTAACCTGGTGTTCAGTGTGCGCACATGGCACTTGAAACGCTCCATCAATAAAATTATAAAAGAAACGGATAAAGTAATACACGCAAATGTATTTACTACCAAAATCTTAATGTTTCTCTAATCTATTTCGCCTATAATCACCTGTAAATTCCGGTCAAATGCTCATCTGCAACACACAAGTACACCGCACGCCCGCGCTGTGCACAAACAACACGAATAAGAGAGCATAGTGCCTGTGAGTGTGCGTCCATGTGCATGCATTCTTGCGTGCGTGTGCGCGTGCGTGTTTCTCCTGGGCTGATTAATTGCGTTGATTATATTAGAATGAGCTCCGATTACAACTCGTGTTAGTTTTGTTTGCCAAACGAGTCTTTGTCCAGAGACCCTAGCACAAACAGCATGGAATTTAACACCGACAATTCACCTGGAAAACCTTCTACATTTTACTACAATTGAGCCTCATTACCATCATCGTAAAATAAAAACCCAGGCGACAAATACACAATGGATTCTTGCGCGGGGAAAAACAGCGAATTATATCCGTGAATTTTTACGACGACGAACGACGCGTGATGGTGAATGGATCTTACGTAAATCTATTCCCGAACAGAAAGTTTGACGGGAATGATTGCACGTATTATTTCAATAGAGCCGCTTTCCCTATCAACAGTATTAAATTTATTATTCGAGTTTTTGACCATGAAAGTGCTTCCTTGCTTCCTCGAAATTATATGTCAACACACATATCTACAGATAAAGAGGAAGGACATGTGACGCAGCATTAGAATGGCATTATATAAATTCGAGTTTAATTGCTGAACTTTTCGTACAATACGTATTTGTTAATACGAAAATTGGTTACTAGATAATTATTAAATTATGAGTGTAAATTTTATTAATAAAAGTAGAAGGTCATTATATATAAGTATATATCAGTCGTATATCAATATGAGTTTTTTTTATTAATAACAGTATTACTGAAGATGAAGATGTGTACGTCCGTGCGTGCGTGCGTTCGTTCGTTCGTGCGTGTATATATTAAATATATTATATATATATATATATATATATATATATATATATAGAGAGAGAGAGAGAGAGAGAGAGAGAGAGACCGGGGGCGAGCATGCAGCGTGGTGCGGGCGCGGCACCGAGCCGCGTTATTGGGACAGGCCGGCGAGCATGTACGACCAGCGGCGCTACACGGCAGGCCGCTGTCGCGACACGAGCCGGCGCGCGCACACAGCCGGCATCTGGATTTGCTGACGGCAAGATCGCGTCTTAGCAGTGTAGACCCGTGCACGTGTGCATGAATGGATGGATAGCTTGTCCCTGAGGAGAGAGAGAGGGAGAGAGGAGAGAGAGAGGGAGAGAGGAGAGGAAGGAGAGAGGAGAGAGAGAGGGGAAAGAAGGAAGAAAGGGAGAGAGCAGCGGAGAAGTGGGAGAGAGAGCGAAGAAAAAGGAGATAGAGGAGAGAAAGGAGAAAAAGAGATACAGAAAGAGAGAGAGGGGAGAAATAGAGGGGAGAAAGAGAGAGGTGGAAGAGGGTGGAGAGATAGAGAGGAGTCAATACCCCGCGCGTGCGTTCCAGGCAGTGCGTGCAGGCAGCCGCCTCATTGGGTCATCAAGGATCGGGACACGTTGGGTAGGAGAGGGGGCAAAACCAGCAGCGAGATCGGTGAGGGGCATGGGGGAGCGCTGTAAGTTCTCCCAGGGGGGTCCAACCGTGCATTTTAGTGTTTCAGGTGGCACTTTCTGCATGGCTACTAGCATGAGCGCTAGAAGCTCAGGAACAATAATTAAATTGGAGGTTAGAAATTCTCCTAAACCACAGCTTCGCGCTTGATATTATTCATTCTTGGACGGTGTGGGTGATATGGCCCTGATGCCCCGATGATCCCTCATCTTTTGATATCATCCATCCCCTCATCTCCTGCTGATGCCACTTCCCTTGCTACCTC